TTCATGTTAAGTCTAATAATAGTTCATGTTAGGTCTAATAATAGTTCATGATAAGTCTAATTTCAAATTAGACTTAACATGAAGTAAATTAAACTTAAAATGAATTTATCATAAAGTAAATTAGATCTAACATGAATTGTTATTAGATTTAACATGAACTAAATTAAAACTTAACACGAATCAAGTTAGACTTAACATGAAATTAGATCTAACATGAATTGTTATTAGACTTAACATGAACTAAAATTAGACCTAACATGAAATTAGACATAACATGAATTATTATTAGACCTAACATGAACTATTATTAGACTTAACATGAACTATTATTAGACCTAACATGAGCTATTATTAGACTTAACATGACATTAGAGCTAACATGAACTGTTATTAGGCTTAACATGAAGTATTATTCTTACTCAATCAAGGAATCTGTTACGATACGCCTAAACTATCGCAAAATAAGCCATACACTCTGGGTCTACATCAAAACACCTCGTAGTCCTGATAATGACGTGTCCACGTAAACGATAAATGTTGTATCACTGCTCAGAAAAAGTAACAGAGATTCGTGAACGTATTCTTGCAGCACATAGTCGTCGGAAGAGTTACGCAGACCAGAGATGATGACCGTTAGAGTTTTAGATTGGGGACTATGTCTTATTTAAAATACCTCCGATGAATTCAGTGACTCGGTAGACGGGAAAAGTTTACCCCAAGGTATATTAGCCCGTTCATGAGAGTTATACATTTTAGAGCCGTTTCGTATGGGCTAGATCTTCTAGCATCAATGTCGAGTAGACACGATGTTTTCTATATTTTGATAATTTAGAAGTAATTGCGCAACGAGGAGAAGCGGTGATTGATGCACCAGAATTTGAGTTTTAGATAGATTTAACTACCGTAGAGATCACGGGTTGTAGTCTTACTAGAGAGGACGAGTGGCTTAGAAAAGAAGTAATACCTTAAGTTAAAGTTCAATAGAGATAGAAAAGAGATGAGGAGGCTTCTTGGGATCGCGAGGAGGATATGCGTCGCGACTACCCGTAACTGTTCGAGTGGGTAAATTGTTTTGGTTATAGCTTATTGATGTTTATGATTTTTTTGATTTTTTTTTCTATATGGTCATATTTATATTTAATGCTAGAATGTGGGTATTAACACTTAGCTCCTAATCATTCGGAATACATGGTATATATATGGGGGGTTCCTTGTTTGGATTTTTCACCCGACATACTAGTTCCGTTTAGTTAGGGGTTAAGTGAGAGTATTCGTATTTTAGATTGTTAAGCATAAATATTGCTAGTGATTCATATCTAGGGATTAATGGCATGAGATGTGTATGGGAGGATTTCCTTATCTGGATTATCCCTTCTTAGTGCTTTTCTCATATTATTAATTCCAAAGATACGATTGTAGAATTTCGGGGATGAAATTCTTTTAACGAGGGAAGAATGTAAAACCCCGTAAATTTGAATATTTTATGATAAATAATGATAAATATGTTATATAGTGAAAAATAATATATTTTAATGTTTGAGTATAATAAAAATTGATTTGAGATTAATTCAATGTATATTTGTGAAAATATGAGTGCAAATGCACAAAACATGCACAAAGCCAAAAGAGTGAAAATATGAGAATAATGACCAGTTATGAGTTTTTATGTTTTACATACCGATGCAGTCAGAATCTGGAAAAGTATAAAAGACCAAAGTTGTATATCTCTTCAACATCTTTCAAACAAATCCTAGATCGTCTCATTCCGAGGTCGGATGAGAAAGTTATAGCCATAATACCGAAGGTTATTTTCCTAGTCAGACGGTTTCCTGGTTCGGGTCAAACAGATTTGCTTCGGGTTTACCTCTATGAATTTTTTGCATATGAACAAGGATGAGATAAGATGATTGATTGTAATCTCATCTCCAATTTCAAATATCAAATCCAAACAAATCAATATCTCATGAATTACTTGAAATCCCAATTATTGGATTAAACCTTATCTAGTCAATAAATGTTGATAAGACTATAAAATTTGAATGCATTGCCTTTTGATTTGAAATTTAATTTTATCCATAAGCCATTTCTCCTATAAATACACACTGAAATGAGCAGAGGGAAGAAGCTAAACCTCTTGTTCCCAAAACCCTTATCTTCCACCTGAAAAAAACTGCCCTCTCTCTTGCTGAGCAACAAAGCGCCAAAAAAGAAAAAAAGCCAAAAGAACCATGGTCCAAAGACCTTTCCTTAACTTGTGGCCTTCTCTTTCTTACATCAAACTCATAAGAAAAAAACCATTTTTTTGTCTTTCTCACCGCGGCCACTATCTTCAAACACCACTGCAACATGAAAGTTTGTTTTCAAACGGCTGTTAGTTTTGCCAAAAAGGACCAGAATTGACATGGACGAGGCTTCCAGTCTATTGTCATTACCGCAAAAGGAGAAGCTAAATGGAAGCATTTGTCATCTCTTTAGAATGAAGTGACTAGGGAATGCATGTTCTCAAGGCTTTCAGTAGCTCAATCACAAGAGGAATGAAGTGACTAGGGGAATGCATGTTCTCAAGGCTTTTTGTAGCTCAATCACAAGAGAAAAGTAAGACAGAAGAAGAAATTTTGGCTATTAAGGCTGACGGGTTAACAAAGAAGCACATTCGCAATCGAAAGAACAAGAAGCAAATGATTACCTCTAAAATAGATTTTGTGCAATTTGAGGAGAACGATCATCCTAATGTGACTATGAAGCCTGACATT